CTCTTTTTTTGTCACTTCGTTCTTCTATACCTAATTTTGTTCTAGTGGTTCGACTTTATTTTCAATTTTGATCTGCATGGGAATGTTGAGTTGATAAGATAGCCTTTTTGATATTCAGGTTAATGAAACGTTTTCTCAGTCTGTTCCCTTTTCTTAAAAAATCTGTTCTTCCTATGAGGTAGCCATTTCGCCATTTCATGAAGAAAAACAAGTGCGTATGGTGGGGGAGTGGAAGGTGCTAAGTGGTCTTTTGATGATGTCCTGCACGAATTCCCACAAATGTATGGAGTATCTTGAAGGAAAATTCGAATGAAATGTTCAAACTAGGTGAACCATTTAATGTACTACAGGAGCTATCATCTGCTGCATCAGCAGAGCTTGCGAGACAGTTCGCTAATTCTGGCTGAGGTTTAACGCAAAGGCTTGAAAGTGTTGAAAAAGCTGCATTATTGTTGACATGTAATGCTTTTTTCGAAAGTCGGCTGAAGAAAGATTTGGGGAACTTTGAGTATGGTTTTTTCAAAGGATGGAAGGACTGTTAAATTGTGTACATTGATCAAAAATCTGTGAAGTGCGAGTAAATGCTCTAGAAAAAATCGCGGAAAGCACTCAACAACTTCATTGAACAAGTTTGTGAATTCCAGGCACGGAGGCATATCATAGATTTCGCTCTAAGATTAATACCAATTTCTAGCGTAAGAGGTGAGGGAGAGGTAGGCGGGGAAAGAGGAGAGATGGTGCTCTTATCTCTCTGGATTTAAAATGTTACTCCCTCATCAACAGGAAGATCTTGCAATGCTTTATCTTACTCTTTTCAGCTTATCAGCTTCAAATGAAAAAGTTTACTTAACTTTTTGGATTGTGTAAACATACAACCGTCATTTGTTGATAAGAAAGAGATGATGAAGTATATAATCAGTTCGCAGCCTAATCAGTTAAAAGCGTTTGATTTTCCTATCATTTTCACTAACTTTGCTATCAGCAAATCTCGGGTCATTGTTTCTAAGACCAACCAATTTGCAGAACTTCGCATTTTTGTAATCATCTATCTCAAAATTAAAATTACTTGTCGTTTGCCAAATTCAATTTCAAATAAGTTCATAAATCGAGCAGTTTAGTTCTAACTTATTTTAGATTTTTTCTATTTCAGAGCACAAATGGCAGTTTTTCTTATCAAGGACCTGTACCGCATATTGGCAAATTTCGACCGAAGGGAATTGGTGGAAATAACATGGGTCAATTTGTCTCACCGGATGTGAAAATGGTCAACTTTCAGTTATTGCCAGTTTATTTTGTTGATGTTGTAACATTCTCGTCTTTTTTTTTTTCGAATCGAAATTCTTAGGAACTAGTTCATCGACAGCTTGCAATGGAAGCAAGAGCCGATCCCGCTGTCTATCCGGACATACCTCAGCAGGTAGATTTTGGTTTTCTTTGTATGGATTGATTCGGTGCTTCAGTGTTAATGTTAGGTGGAACATCTGAACCATTTGGTCCCGTTAGAGCCGATCAACCAGCATCATGCAACCCAGTCTGTGTATAAAGCGATTTCGGTTAGAGATGGTGTCACTTATTGTATACGAAGACTTCATGGTAGACTCTAACTTATTGTTTTTTTTTTCGAAATTTGATCATTGCTAAACATTTTTAGGGTTCCGTGTGTCGTCGCCAAAGCAACTACAGCCGCTAGAAACGTGGAAAAAGCTGAACAATGTTAATGTCGTCCAACTACGCGAAGTGATTGTAAATTGTAAATCATTTGGGGACAGCTGTAAGTTAACTCTACCTTGACCTTGTCTTGTGATTTTGCTTCAAAATCGCTTTATATACAATATCTGGTATTGTTGCATTTGTGAATTTCATTCCGCTGTAGATGTGGTGGATGATAACCAGCTGCAGATGAGCTGCAGATGAGCTGCAGATGGATGATATGAGCTCAAATTTCAAGCTGCTTGAAACCTTTCACAGAATCTTTTCTCAAATTTAGTTGAATATCGAAAAAGTGCATGCATTCGATTATCAGTCTAATATTTTGAATATTTTGCAACGTCGACATTCAAATCTTCGAGTTCGCATGGTTTTGGGACTGAAACTCGAGTAAAAGTCGATCGTTCAAATATCTGCTTTGATCATTTGCCATTGAAATTGCTATTTGAAAAAACGTACTTATTTCGTTAATCGTTATTGCCTAATTATTCGTTAATTCGATCGAATATACACGGTCCCACAAATCGAATTTTCATCGAATATAAATCAGATGGTAATTTGAACAATATTCATTCGTTCATTTTTTATCACGAACGAATATTCGATTTCGTTCATTGGAAAATTTTTTTCAATATTTTAACTATAGTGCTGAGCCTCAAATGTTGCTAATCAATCTGTAAACGCATGTAGAGTAAATTTGCTGTCAAATGATCATTTTCAGCTGTGGTCCTTGTTTACGACTACCATCCGCTAGCTGATTCGCTGAAAACCCGTCATTTTGGAAGGATGCTTGGAAGTGGATTCATCGATGGAATAAGTGTGTTCTTTTCAGTTGATCTTTCAGCATATTGTTTTTCACTCAAGCTTCATAATAGTAGTCTATTTTAGCTGGTGCTAAGATTTCAAGTCAA